CTAAGAATAAAATAAATACCTGTGGGAGTCATAAAATCTTGAAACAAGATTCTTAAATATCTCTAGCATGTGTCTTGAAAATAGTTTCTATAAACAATATATATGTTTCATTAATGACCTCAAAGGTTAATTAATTTCCTACAAAGTGTGTATACATTTTTGGGTGACACATGATTTCAATGCATAGATTCAGCCTCAGAATTTATGGTCATGCCAGCAGGCTTAAATCACCCATATGCAATGATGCTAAGAGTACAAAAGAAAACAATAATTTATAAAGTTGAGGCATTAATTATTGATTCTTGAATATCACCTACTAGTCAGCCATTCAGTAAGTAATGAATTGGGCTAAAGTATGCTTTATTTTCTCATAAGTAAATGAACAAAATCAATTTTTCAATGGAAAGATGATATATTGATAATTACTTATCAATAACTTTATCATACTTAACCAAAGAATAACACTTTGTACCTTTATCCTAATATATGTTAACAGCTTTTTACCTAACCACATATTTTTATAATTGGACAAAGTTTCACCATCTTCCTATTTACATTTACAGAGTATCCACCCAAAAATGGATACATGAACTTCGATTAATTATAAAGGCAGTGTTTTTAAAAGTACGTTCCATTTTAAAGTGTGTATACATTTTGGGGAGACACCCTGTATTTATGTATGTGTTTACTATTGCTGTGAATGCCCCCTTCTCTCTGAGATTGCTCAATCTGTCCCTTCTTTCCATGTCACTGGTTCCACTTTATTGCTCAGTTTATTTTGTTCATTAGATTTCAAATTTAACTGATTTCATGAGAGATTGTCTTTTTCTGATTCACTTATTTTGCTTAGCACAATAATCTCCAGGTCACTGCATGCAGTCTCACAGGGTAATAGATCTTTTATTTTTACAGCTGCATAGTATTCCCTGTGTAGATGTACTCTGTGTTTTTATACACTCATCTGCTGATGATCACTCCGGCTGTTTCCAGATCTCAGCTACAGTAAAGAACACTGCTATGAACATAGGCATGCACATATCATTTAATTACATGTAATATTTGGAATAATACAGTGAATTCCATAGAACCAACCATTCAATCTAATATATTGATATCACTCACATGGGTCTCCATGCTCCTACAACGTAGATGCGCCCGGAACACTCAGGACTAAGTCAGGTCGCGGGCGTCACTCTGAGGCGTAAAGAACAAAGCAGAGGAGAGGAGAATGAGGCATGCTTCCCAGGAAGAGAGAGGCCACATTTCTTCTGAGGTGGACCTCAGTGTGTAAAACACACTTTAGATTCATCATGGCGACTCAAACCGATGCCCCTTTAATCATCATAGATCCAGAAGACGGTGTTGTCTTCATTCATTTCTATGTTGTTTGATTAATTCATGGATTCACTGATTATAAATTATGAATTGATAAGGCCTTAGAATGTAACTAGATATTCTTAGAATTTAATGAGACTCATTCTCACAAAATATTTTCTTTGTTAATTATTCTGTTTTTCCTATATGAATTAATGAAAAATTTTCATGCTTGCTCAAGGATATACACACGGGGTGGTGTAATTTTCCATCCCACTAGATATTTTGAACAATGATAAGGGTTTCCCCTATTCAAATTTATTGAATATCTATTCGTTTATTTACCTTGCCATTTCTATTTATATTTTTAAATATTCATGTACACAAAGACCAAGAACATGATCCTTTGTATATTTAGCCTCCCCTACATATCACCTCAAATGAGGGTGTGGTGGTGGGGGGAAAGGACTCCTACCCACACCAACCATCATCACTCATCCAGGATTCAGCCTCATTGTCTTCATTCATGTCTATACATCTGCATTGATTAAATCACCAATTTGCTAAGAATAAAATAAATACCTGTGGGAGTCATAAAATCTTGAAACAAGATTCTTAAATATCTCTAGCATGTGTCTTGAAAATAGTTTCTATAAACAATATATATGTTTCATTAATGACCTCAAAGGTTAATTAATTTCCTACAAAGTGTGTATACATTTTTGGGTGACACATGATTTCAATGCATAGATTCAGCCTCAGAATTTATGGTCATGCCAGCAGGCTTAAATCACCCATATGCAATGATGCTAAGAGTACAAAAGAAAACAATAATTTATAAAGTTGAGGCATTAATTATTGATTCTTGAATATCACCTACTAGTCAGCCATTCAGTAAGTAATGAATTGGGCTAAAGTATGCTTTATTTTCTCATAAGTAAATGAACAAAATCAATTTTTCAATGGAAAGATGATATATTGATAATTACTTATCAATAACTTTATCATACTTAACCAAAGAATAACACTTTGTACCTTTATCCTAATATATGTTAACAGCTTTTTACCTAACCACATATTTTTATAATTGGACAAAGTTTCACCATCTTCCTATTTACATTTACAGAGTATCCACCCAAAAACGGATGCATGAACTTCGATTAATTATAAAGGCAGTGTTTTTAAAAGTACGTTCCATTTTAAAGTGTGTATACATTTTGGGGAGACACCCTGTATTTATGTATGTGTTTACTATTGCTGTGAATGCCCCCTTCCCTCTGAGATTGCTCAATCTGTCCCTTCTTTCCATGTCACTGGTTCCACTTTATTGCTCAGTTTATTTTGTTCATTAGATTTCAAATTTAACTGATTTCATGAGAGATTGTCTTTTTCTGATTTACTTATTTTGCTTAGCACAATAATCTCCAGGTCACTGCATGCAGTCTCACAGGGTAATAGATCTTTTATTTTTACAGCTGCATAGTATTCCCTGTGTAGATGTACTCTGTGTTTTTATACACTCATCTGCTGATGATCACTCCGGCTGTTTCCAGATCTCAGCTACAGTAAAGAACACTGCTATGAACATAGGCATGCACATATCATTTAATTACATGTAATATTTGGAATAATACAGTGAATTCCATAGAACCAACCATTCAATCTAGTATATTGATATCACTCACATGGGTCTCCATGCTCCTACAACGTAGATGAGCCCGGAACACTCGGGACTAAGTCAGGTCGCGTGCGTCTACCCTGAGGCGTAAAGAGCGAAGCAGAGGAGAGGAGAATGAGGCATGCTTCCCAGGAAGAGAGAGGCCACATTTCTTCTGAGGTGGACCTCAGTGTGTAAGACACACTTTAGATTCATCATGTCGACTCAAACTGCCGCCCCCGTTCATCATCATAGATCCAGAAGACGGTGTTGTCTTCATTCATTTCTATGTTGTTTATTGATTAATTCATGAATCCACTGATTATAAATTATAAATTAACAAGGCCTTAGAATGTAACTAGATAATCTTAGAATTTAATGAGACTCATTCTCACAAAATATTTTCTTTGTTAATTATTCTGTTTTTCATATATGAATTAATCAAAAAACACTTCCTATGAAGAACTCTCATCATTACTCACATTGTCCTCCCTTCTCCCAAAACAGAGATGCCCTCCTATGGCTCATGGTGAAGGAAGAACTCCTCAGGCAGGTGGACCTTGTCCATTCTAAGGAATAAATTGTAGAGCAAATGATTAGCACAAAGAGAGAGAGAAAATCTCCCCGTATGAAAATCTCCCCATTCATTGTTGCTCTCCACCTTTGAGTTCCCAAGGCGCTTAGACAGAAGCTAATTTGGTATAAATTCTTTTTTATCTCAAGAAAAAAAACAACATGTGATCTTGCCACTGACCCAGAATCTGAATATTGTCTGTGAATCATAATATCCAAGGCACCCTTAGCCATGGACCAACTACTTCTAATTAAACGCCAGGGTTTTCATAATGTATCAATAGGAATTTCTTGCATAATCACATATTTTTACAATGAGATGTTGTAAGCATTCACTGCATTCATCTTTACTTATGTATTTGTTTACTGATTCTCTCATCTATCCAACGATGATAGAATGTAACTGTGTGAACACTTAGACCAAACTAGGTTTCTTTTATGACAGACCTCAGCGTTCCAGACATGTAGTCATCTATGTGGTTGGTTCACCATCAGTCCTCATCACTGATCCTATTGGAACCCATTTTTTTCCTTTTTAATTGTTTATTGATTAAATCATCAATTCACTAATAATAATATCTAAATGCTAACCAAAGAGTTATTACACCCTTAACCTGTACACATATTATTTTCATATCAGTGTACTTCTCTGATAAATTATACTGCTTTTCATACATGCATTAATCAATATAATGGCTCATATATCTGCTATTTATCACTGAAATGTAGTCCTTTATTTATATTTTATAATTTTTAATACTAGAGTAAATTACCTTATAAAAAAAAACACTTAACACAGAAAATAACACCTCTACTATGATCACATTAATCTCCATCCTCCTATTATGCAGATTCAACCAGAGAGCAGGTGTCCAGGGAAGGCACTGAAGCAGTCCTAAATATCTCTAGATATTTCATGTAAGACCTAATGGACATTGAGTCCTGCTGACCACAGGGTTTCATAGACACAGGGTTTTAATATTTCTTCTTTTATCTAAATGTATATACTGGGTATTCCCCAAAATGTAAACATACTTTAACAGCTGATAGCTCAATTTAGAAAATGAAATGTGTTTTAATAAACACTGCGATTGTAAATTATTCAAATTGTATGTACACATTTTTGGGGACACCTTGTAAATGTATCCTAACACGATGAAAAACTCAATCTTGACACTGACCCAGAACAACAAAATGAATTCATACTAGTCAATGTCTATATGATTCTTAATCACAGATGAAATTCACAGCTACATTGGTTCCTTAATTAATATGTCCTTTCAATTTGGTTGATAACATTCATGGTTATGTATTTGTTCACCCTAATTCTTCAAATACTTAACTATTTGTTTAATATTTCTATCAGTCTATTAATAACATACCTACTGGTATGTCAATGAAATCAGAACAAAAACATGACCTCTGTATTGATCTTGACATTTATCATGACATCTATCTTGACATCTATCATGAATTCCAGACACATATTCATCAAGTATGACTCAAATGCCACCAGTAGTCATCACTGATCTAATTAAGCACTAATTGTAATTTTAAATCTAGATGATTCACAAACCAAGGAGACACTGATATCCCTATTATGTATCTAGAATCATTCTAATATCAATATGCCTCCACTAATAATCCCAAATTTCATTGCAGTATTAATCAATATACCGTTTCCTGTTAATTTAATATTTATCATTGAATTAATTAACAGCTGGATTACTTTGATTCCCTATGGTACTTTTTAGAAATACACTAAGTACTCTAAAAAATCATTAAAACCCAGACAGGAACTTAGACTATCTATTACTCACATTGCTCTCTGTGCTGTTAACATGGAGATGGTAGCATGGAGCTGCCCCCATGGAATGAGGCTTAATTAGCTCAAATGGTCCATTCTGAGAAATTCTAAGCACAGTCAGACAGAAGAAAATATGAAAGTGTTATATAGGTAATTAAAATTTCTCTGTGTATATTATCTTCTCTTAACAAAAGGAACTGTCTCAAACTTGAGACCAACCAAAAGCAATGGATTTATTCAATTATTTATGTTTTTTATTAAATCTATTGGGGTGACATTGGTTAATAAATCATGTAAGTTTCAAGTGTATAATTCTGACACATTATCTATACATTGCATTGTATGTCCACCACCCACAGTCAAATCATCTCCCATCACTATATATTTGACCCCCTTTCCCATTTACTACTCTCCCAACTCCTTCCCTCTGGTAAGCACCATTCTGTGTCTATGAGTTTTTGTTTCTTTTCTTGTTTGTTCATTTGCTTTCGGTATTTCTTCATGAACACAATGCTTTCATTTTTTAAATATTATTTCTTTACTCACGACACATATTCAAGCCACACGAGGCTTCACCCTTTTTTCTTTCGCTATTATTCACATTTCTTTATTGGTTCTATCGGTCCATTAATAATAGAAAGTATAAATCTAAGGGGCCAAAATAAGAACATGATCTTTGTATATTCTTAACATCTGTCTACAAGATCGAATACAACAGCGAGGATACACGAGGCATTGTGTTGGACCTTAGAGTTTCATACACATTTTTTCTAATTGTAACCACCATCATGGTCCATTACAAATCTACTTTTTCTTCATTCATTTCTATTTTTGTATTGATTTATTAATTCATCCACTGATAATAAAAATATTCACAAAAACTTAAGAATAAGATACTTAAATTTCCTTATTCCTACCTGAAAAATCATTATCAACTTAGGTTTATGTTATTCATTCATCAATGTCAATGATAATGTTTATATAAGGTTTATTATTGGGCAATAGGTTCCTTTTGATAACATTACTATTGGTAATACTATAAATATCCTTCAGCAATAACCCAAACAAAAATATGACCTTAAGCTTTTACTCACTTAACTCTCTTTCCTAAGATAAAGGCAACATAGCAATCTTGATCATGTCATTAGACAAATTAACTTGATCACCTCCTTTGAAAAGTGCCAAGCAAAGAATTGATAACAGCATTGGGACTTTCTCTTCATTGACTAAGACTTTTCACCAATGATTTACATATTCATTTAGGCATTTAATAATTTATGATAATACTTATTTTTTATTTTTAACTTAATAAACTTCAAATCTACAACTGACTCAGGCAATCACTAACTTACATTTCACTGTTTTTATCAACCTTAGAGTTGCCACACTTGGTCCAATTATTATTCATTCTAATGCATATGAATATTCTTTTACCTTGATATTTATCAGAGAATAATGCTTCGTCCTCTTCATCTTTTTTCATTTATATACTCATTATTTATTCTGCCATTGATACTGTGTTAATATTAAAATCATGTCCCCAAAGACCAACACAAATGTATATGCTTCCCATCTGTCTAGCTCAGGGGAGGGGAATATCTGGCTGGTGGGCCATATATATAAGACCTGCAGAGTCATTTGGCTTGGCCCTGCCAAGGCAACTGCAGGTGGGACTCGAAATGCTATAAACTTAGGAGCTTTCTTCATAGCAATATAAATGTATAGTAAGTGAATTATATTAAGCAAATGATATTATAAATATCCAAATGGCCCTTCGCAGGAAAAATCTCCCACACCCTGGTCTAGAGGATTCATTGCCACATGGGACGCGGACTAGTACCGTTCCTGTGGGACACACAGTATTTTGTCCACCAACCGTCATGGACCTATGACTGTCCCTCTTTCTTTTCATTCTAGCAAACAAGTGTTTATTAATTCATTATAAAAATAAACATTAATTTTTAAAGCAATGCTAATATCCTTTGACATCCCTAACATCTATCTGTAAAATCATTTCCACATTGACTAAATATCTTTTATTAGCTACTTCAGGATTACATTTTTGGATTAGTCAATTAAATGTTTCCTATCAATTAGATATTTAGCATGGCCTATTTCATCTTCTTTGATCATAATTAATACTTTGGAACAATACAGTGAATACCCGTGAAGAAGCCATTCCCACTAAGACAATAACTTTAATTACTACTCACATGGTCTCCAAAGAGGAATGGGACAATCAGCGGCAGTGCGTCATTCTGGGGAGATGAGAGCAGAGCAGATAACGAAAACAGACTTCCTTCCATTGATCTTTTATGGAAGCGTTTAGACATTAGTTATTAAGTATATTTAACTCATTGTCTTTTGTGAAAACAAGCTACTTTAAACTTCCCACTGACAAAGAACATAAACAGTCAATAATTTTCCCTGTCTACATCACCCTTAGCCAAAGAGGTTACAATAATGTACCATTCATTGCTCTTTTCAAATTATATTAATAGAATTTATTGCCTCTCCATATATGTTTTAAACTGGACAACACAAGTACCATTCAGCTTTATTTTTTATATATTTCTTCATTGGTAAGTCATTGATCCAATTATAATAAAGATTGAAAATGCTTATAGGGAAATAACTCATTTTCAGACACATATCATTTGTTATTCGTGACTCATACACCAGCTGGTATCATCGTTGATCTAAGGACCACTTTGTCTTCATTCAGTTCTACATTGTTTAATGATTCATTGATTAATTCACTAATTAAAATTTTAAATCTCTATGACAATCTAAAGCTTAACAAGATCTTAAGATCTCTAATATGTATCAACAATCATTCCTACACTAATATCTGTCATTATGTTGTTTTCTTATGTGCTTTTAATCAAGATAATGCTCCCTATTACTCCCTTGTTATGTATATGACTTATACTGTTTGTCATTTTCATACAGGTAGTAGTCATGAAGCATTTATTTCTAAAGGAACTTTAGTATTTTCATAATATATCAATAGTATTTCTTATATGAACATATATTTTTATAATTTATCAATGCTTCGTTAAATTTTTCTTTACTTATAAATTTATAGATCCTCCCATTTATTCAATTAAAATAATAGAATAAAAATGAATAAAGACTAACACCAGAAGCAAGATCCTTGTTTATTCCTGACATATATCTATCGCATTCCTAAACAATGGGGATAGACTTCATTTCTTTTGTGTTAGACCTCAGAGAGCTACACATCCTCGTATTCATCGTGTATGTCTCACATAGCCACCCCTGCTCATTATTGATCCAATCTTGTCTCTCCTTTTCTTCAGTCATTCCTGTAGGTTCATTGATTAAATCCTTAATTTACTACTATTAATTTCTAAACACTGATAAACAAAAACCCTAGAGGAGCCTTTATATCTCTTTTTCTATACATTGGTTATCCTAACACCAATGTGTCACTTTCGTTGATTATCCTCAGTTTTCCACTGGAATAATCAATATAAAGTTTCATATATCCCATACTTATAACTAAAATGCATTTTACTGTTACTCACATTACCTATGTCTTCTTATATAGAGACAACCACACAGCAAATGACCATGGAAGATGCTCTACTCAGCTTGAGTGTTTTCATTCTCAGGAGTACGGAGTAGATGGTGATAAATAAAGAGAGAAAGAGCCTATCATCACTAATGCTTTCTTTCCATATATAAAATTTTTCAAAAGGAAAAACTCAATCTTCAAGACCAAGAAGAATACAATGGATTCTTACTGTTATGAATATTTATGACTCAGTCAAAGAGGTGAGACCTATTTATTTCCATTTATTTCTTAAGAGGCATTACCATACACTTTAAAAGTTAGATGATGCCTCATTTTTATTTATATTTGTTGAATGGTCCCACCAATATACCAGTAGCATTAATAACAAATCGACATCTAGGAAATTCTCACAAGAATATAATCACTGTACATTCTTGACATCTCTCTATGTAAGCAATTCCAACTAAAAGAATAGATTAATGTTCCATGTTGGACCTCAGTTTCAGACCTATTGTATTCATCATCCACAACTTGTACTTGACCAATTACCATTATTGGACAGCTTACTTCCTATTATATTCATTAATGCTTTTACAGATTAACTTATTAGTTAACAAAAACCAAAGGTCACAAAAAGTAAAACAAAGCTTCCTACCGATTATAATCTTTCATTAATTAACTTCAATGTCTCTTTATATAGATTACTTAATATAATGCTTGATAGGCCATGGTTCTGATTTTTTATTTTATATGACACTTTTAATAATGCAGTGAAAACCTTTTTGAACAAAAACACAAAACCAATAAAAGTACTTTTGACTATTACTCACATTGGTCCCCAGGCCTTTAACAAGATGGAACCATGGAGCTTCTCATCATAAAAGATGCTGAAATCATCTGTGACCAAGCTAAGTACAAGACAGAACAGATAATTTAAAAAAAAAAAAAAAAGGTTTGAGATATTATGTCATTAGTCATTGCATTTCACCTTTCATTGAGTCACTCATTCGTGTACTCTACATTATATATATTTTAATTTCCCTTGAGTCAATGAATAATATTGATCTGACCACTGACAGATATGAATATTAACTACCAATTATTAATATCTATATCATCTTTAGTCAAAGGATAATGACCTAATACCATATAATCCCTTATCAACATTAGTGTTTTAAATATATATCAATACTATTTCTTAACTAAACACTTACTTTTATAATTGGACAATATTTTGCCACCTCCATATTTATTTATTTATGTTTGCTTATTAATTATTTTATAGATCCAATTATACAAACAGATAATGACCTAATACCATATAATCCCTTATCAACATCAGTTTTTTAAATATACATCAATACTATTTCTTGACTAAACACTTACTTTTATAATTGGACAATATTTTGCCACCTCCATATTTATTTACTTATGTTTGTTTATTAATTATTTTATAGATCCAATTATACAAACAGAAAATGCATAAATATAAAAATTAAAAACAAGATCCCCTTATATTCCTGACAACTTTCTAGGGATCCCTTCAAACAATGGGCATGGACTCCATTTCATGTTGGACCTCAGAGTTCAACATGTAGTCATCCTATAGGACTCATACGCAACCAGTAGTCATCACTGATGCAATACGACCCCTATTTGTTTCAAATTCATAATTTGCTAATAATAATTTTAAAATACTAATTACTCTCCAACACTCACACTCACACACACACACACACACAAAAAAAAAAAAAAAAACCAGCAGGAAGAGCCATGATATTCCTAGCCTATAAACTGAATTTAATATATTTTTTAAAAATTATGTTATTTTGCATGTATGCATTAATCACTTTAATTTTTCATAAAATACAATATTTATCACTGAGCTATACCTGGACTTCTGAAATCCTATATGTAACTTTTAATGGCACATTGACTACTCTCAACAAAAATCAATCGCTAAACTCAAGACGGGAACTGTGGCTATTACTCACATCGGTCCGTGTGCTTTTCACACAGAGAACTAATCATACAGCTGGGCAGCGCCGAACAATACTTAACCAGCTAATATGTGTCCGTTCTGAGAAGGACAAAGCACAATCAATAATAAATAAATAAATAAGCCTTTAACCCCCACTGAGTCTTGCTTTCCACATTTCATATTTGCAGTTACTTAAGGAGATTTGACTGTGGGTGGTGGCACACAATGCAATGTATAGATGTATTATAGGATTGTACACTTGAATCCTATATAATTTTATTAACCAATGGCATCCCAAAAATACAATAAAAATATTTTAAAACTTAAAATGTTCATGTTTTATAATGTAGATACTTGCACCTCACAATTCATTCCAGATTATTGGAATTATCTTCATAACTCCTCTGCCACAATCATTATCGTCGGTCCATAGGGACCAACTTTCTCCTCATTAATTTCTACATTTGTGTTCTTTACATTTTATCATTGACAATGATACAATAAATACATGATAAACAAAAACTGAAAAACCAACAATTCTGAGCATACCTAACTAGTGACTACAGAATAACTGCCAATATAGATTGCATCTTTCTCATTAATCAATCTCAATGTTCCATAATTTCAATTAATCAAAGTAATATTTCATGTCATATTTATCATGGAATAATAAATTAATTCTTATTAGATTTATTATTTTTTGTTGTTGAGAATATTACAGGCGTCCCCCTTTTTACTCCTTGCCCCTCTCTCCACCTGGCTCCTGCCCCACCCCAAGCCTTAACCACACTATTTTCTTGGTCCATGGGTTATGCATGCGTTCCTTGCTTAATCTCTTGCCACCCCCCGCCCCTTCCCTGTGTGATTAGTCAGTCAGTTTCATGATTCCATATCTCTGGACCTATTTTGTTCATCAGTTTATTTTATTATTGTAGATTTCACAGATAAGTGAGATCATGTGATACCTGTCTATCCCTGATTTGGTTCACTTAGCATAATAAGCTCCAGGTCCCTCCATGCTGTTTCAAAGGGTAAGAGACCCTTCTCTTTGACAGCTGTATAGTATTCCATTGTGTAAATATGCCACACCTTTTTTTATCTATCCCTTTCCTGATGGGCACTTCAGCTGCTTCCCGATCTTAGCTATTATAAATAATGCTGCTCTCATTAAATTGTAATAATACCATGAATGATGCCCTTAAACAAATTAACCCACCCAAGACAAAACCTTGATTACTACTCACCTTGATCTCTCTGCTAATGTAAAGGCAACAGAGCAAACTTGACCAGGGCAGAGCTGAAATAAGCCAGAGCATCTGTTCTGAAGAGTCAAAAACAGAGGGAGACAAAAAGGTTCAGACTTCCTTCCATAGATCCTTACCGCACAACTTTCATGCAACCAGTCATTGAGGCATTCATGATTTGGAGTATATTTATGTTACTGGCCATCAGGAAAACTATTGGGAACTTCCCACTGACACAAAACATAAATATTGTCTATATGTTACCCTGTCTATAGCTCCCCAAGCCAAAGAGGTTGAGTCATGGACCATTTGTTTCTCTTTGGGCTTCTACTGTTGTCAATGATGTGAATAGAATTTATTGCCTACCACATGTTTGAAATTGGACAATGCATCTACTATAGATATATCATCATTGATAAATCATTGGTCCAATTATAATTAAAGAATGAAACTGCATCCAGAGAAAGAACCCATTCCTTCTGTGTTGGATCTCAGAGTTGAAGAGAGATATTATTCATCATCCGTGACTCGTACTCTGGCAGTTGGCATCATTGATCCAAAAAAGGACGCTTTCTCTTTACTCATTTCTATATTGTTTATTGATTAATTCATTAATTCCCTAAATAAAAAAATTAAAACTCTATTATTCACAAGAACTCAAAAGGGTCTTGATAGCCCTAATTATACTTGAAAACATCATCACATCATTATATCTGTCATATTTATTAACATTTTTACATATGAAATATTCAATATAATGCTACCCATTAATCCCATGTTGGCCACGAGGATGCAATCGGGCCACCTCTGAGTATGTCATGCTTTTATGAACACAGACCACCCAACCAAACTGAGAACTCGCGTTCAAACTCACATTTGTCTCCAGGCTCCTAAAGCAGAGGTGCACTTCCATGGCTCCCGGTCAGGGAAGAACCTTCTAGCAGGTCCAGGGCTTGTCCTGAGGAGTATGAAGCAGAGCAGATGCTATAAATGGTTGAGACCTTCTGTCCATTGATGTTTGCATTTCACATAAGGGTACATATATAATACCTTAATCAATAAAGAAAAATTTTAAAAAGTTTTCTTTACCAAAAAAAAATATTTGACAATTATATATGGTCACTGACGTGAAATTAAACTTCATTGTGATCATCCTCAGGCAATATATAAACATACTGACCTTTGCCCTGCTGGTGTGACTCAGTGTTTGAGCATCAACCTTGCTCATGACCTTAGAAGAATCCTTACATCAGCTGGAGTGTGTTCACCCTATGGAGTACAAAGCAGAGAAGAAGATAAAAAAAATCAAACTTTATCTCCACTGATCCTTGTTTTCCGCATTTTATTTATTCATTTAGACATTGATTAATTGTTCATATTGCAGTATGTTTTCTCTGAACAAAAGATAATGTTAAACTTGAGGCTGTTGAAGAGCAAAGTAATATTGAGTCTCACTCATCACTGTCTACATGGCTCTTAGGCAAAAAGGCAAACGCTACTTCCACTCATGGCTTCATCAGTATGATTTCAATTTTATTGCCTCATGACATGTGTTCCTAGCTGGACAATGTCTCACTCTTATCTCTTTAGTTGTTTATTACATTCTTAATAGTTTGACTATTGATACATTAATAATAATAATTGTAAATCTATGAACTCATGAATATAATCTTTGTATATCCCTAACATCGACCCATGGGGTCATTAACAAAAGAAAAAAGTATTCTTTTTCTTGTGAACACAGAGTTACAGACACCTTGCACTCACCATATATGACTCTATGAGACCAGTCATCGTCATTGGTCCATTTTTGGGTCTCTTTTTCTTCAATGGTTTCTCTATTTCTGATCATTAAAGCACTAACTCATTGATAATGAAATAAATACATGATTCATAAAATCACAAAAAAGACCCTTGATTAAACCTAGCTTCTGTACCACATAGGTTATATCTTTACATTAATTGAATTAAATGTTGCACATTATCAGTGAATCACCTTATTTCATAACATATCTCTACTGGTTTCGCATGTAAGTTTTTTATTATATTTATTACTTTATATTAATACTATGAATACTTTTTTAAAAATCATCCAAACCAAGGTAAAATCTTCACCTACTATTCACCTTAGTCTCTTTTCTAGCATCATCTCCATCAGAGCAGATGCTGCAATCAGATTGGTGCATTCATTCTGAAAAGTACAAGCAGACAAAAGAATAAAAGATATCACTTTTATAATTTAATGTAAATATTCTCATTAAAATGTAACGATACTGCCTATAGAAATATAATTAGAATGAATGTATATCAAATTAGTGGATAAAATAGTTAAATTAGGAGATAAACATAACTAATCAAACATAAGTCAAGAAGGCAGTGTAACAAACAAAAAAATAATAAAGAAAAAGCACAAAAGTCAATATAGAAATACATAAATAGTACATACAAATATATTGATCATCACAAAAATGTAAAGCAATACATTATCCAGATATGTCATAAATAATCAGAATATATTTTTTTTAAATTCAACTACATATTTACTCCCCTCCCCCCCAAAAAAAGATTGAGACATTTTCTCTATTGTACCATATTTTTCACTATTCATTTACAGTCATTTGAGGTTTATTAATTAATGGTAATATTTATTTATTTTGCTCTCAATAGCATGCACTTCAAACTAATTCCTGACTGAGGGCAATAATTATTACCTGTCAGTGTGTATGCCGTCCTTTGTCAAATACATAATACCCTTGGCCCTTTCTTAACCTTTCCCACTTATACAGATATTCATTTTCATTATTACATATTTTATTCATGAACAAAGCTTCATGCTCCTCATCTTTATTCATTTATACATTTGTCTATTTATGCTGCCATTAAATCTTTAATAATAATATTTTTAAAATTCATGAAGTCAAAGACCAAGAATGAGATCCTTTTATATTCCTGACACCTGTCCACAGGTTCCTGTCATAAAAGGGAAATGCACCGGACTCCATTTGTGTGGGATGTCAGACTTCCAGATACCTATTCAGCTCAGATGCCCCACAATGCACCAGTGATCATCGCTGGTCCAGGGGTGGCCTTCATTCTGTATTGTCATCTACATAAATCTCAAAAACACAAGAGCGAGATTCTTAAGTATCTGGAACATTCACTTTTACGATCACTTCCACTAAGACCAGATTTCTATCATTAACTCAACTCAGTGTTTCATTTATGGGTTAATCAACACAATGTTTCATGTTAATATGATATTTAACAGGGACATACGTCTAATTTTCTTTGATTGCTAGAGGCCCGGTGCACATAATTTGTGAACCAGAGGGGAAGAGGGTGTCCCACAACCCAGCCTGTGTCCGCTTACAGTCCAGACCCGTCATGGGATGTTCGGGACTCCTAGAGGGAGGAGGAGGACATCCGCTCACAGTCTGGGACCTCCTCATTCCTTACCACCCGCCTGCTCGCTGCTCCTTACCGCTCAGCTTACTGTTCCTTAGCACCGCCGTGAGGTGGGAGAGGCTCCTGCCATCATCACTGCAATCATCAGCCTTGAGTCCGGCTTCTGGCTGAGCCCACTGACTACCAGGGGGCAGCGCTGGCATGAGTGTATGCCCCCTGATGGTCAGTGTGCATCATAGCAACTGGTCGTTCTGGTAGTTCCCCTGTAAAGATCACATAGGCTTTTATTACATAGATAGTAACACTTCTTAATTGTACAGGGGAAATCTTAAAAAACAGAACACAGTTAAAGCAAAAAGAACATTGCCTATTACTCACAGTGGCCTCCATGCTCCTAATGCAGTCCCCGAGCTCCTGCCCAGGGGAGATGTTGACATCAGATGGGGGGCTTCCATTCTATGGAGTACAATGCAAAACAGACCCAAAGAGGCAATCGAGACATCTCCTCCATTAGCCCCAATTCCACCATTATTTAGTCAGCCATGTACACAATTGGTGATTTGTGATTGTGTCTACTTTACTTTCTATTAAGTGACTAAACAATATCAATATGTCCACGGACACACTATGAACACTGGTTGTTGGTCATTACTATCTATATCAAATTTAACAAAAATAAACAGCATCCTTATACTGTTTATTTTCATTCATCTTCAGTGATCACAATATATATGAGTAATATTTCTTATCAGACCACATAATCTTTTAATTAAAAATGTTTTACCCCATCATTCATTTGTAAAACATTTATTGGTATAATCACGGGTTCAATTATATTTATAGAATACAAATGAGTGAAAACCAAAATTGGACCCTGAATATCCTAGTATTTCAGCCACTTGAAATGGATTCATTTTTTTTTGTTGGACCTCAGAGTTCCAGTGGTACTCTTTGCATCAGTTATATGAAAGGAGTCATCATCACTGAATTCGTTCTTTTAATCTACTGTCATCTATGTTTTTTAATTGGTTAAATTCACTAATATAAAAATAAACATAAATGAAGGTGGAAAAAATCACAAATAATATCCTGGAATATCCCTAACAACCATCTACTTTTTATTTATTTTTATTGTTGAGAGTATTACCAGTGTCTCCCATTTTGTCCCCATTGCCCCCTTCCACCACCCATCTATTGAATCATTTGCACTGAAACCAAACTCTTTCATTAATTGAACTCAGCGTTTCGTATGTAAATTAATCATCATATTGTTTCATATGAATAACGCTTGATATTGACATGATTGGGCTTCTTTGAGTATATTTAATGGTTTTAATACTACAAAATAATTTTTTTTAAAAAAACAATCAATCCAATACAAGAACACTGAGCATTACTCACGTTACTCTCCACGCTCCCAACACACCATTGCTACGACGACCATAGAAGACGCTGAAATCAGCCCAAATGTGTTCTTTCTGAGGAGTATAGAACACAACCAATGATAAAAAAAAATTTAGTGATTTCATCAGTCATTAAATGAACAACTTAGAACTTGTCCCTCTCCTAGAAAATGAACACTGACTAGCACTTATTGTTGTCTATGTCATCCTTAGCCAAAGACTTGATAGTAATGCACCAATTACTTCCCTTTGGACTTCACTTTTTTAAAAGTTATTAATAGTATGCTTTGCCTCACAAGGTATTTTTATGATTGGACATTACTTCATTCATCTTTACTTACATATTTGCTTATTGATTATTACATTTATCCAATTATAATAATAGGAAAAAATAAACCAAAACACCACACCAATCCTTGCCTATTCCTAAGTTCTGTCTGTGGCATCCTTTCAAACAAAGAGAAGGTACTGGGTTGCTCTGTGCTGGATCTCAGAGTTTCAGACACATGACAATTATCATCCTCACCTCAAAAGTCCGGAGCCTCATCACCGGTCCAGGACGAGCACACATTCCCTTTGTTCATGTCAAAGTTGTTTATTAAGTCATTAATTCACACTCATCAGAGTGAATTAAGCAAATCACCCAACCAACACAAGAACTGTGACAATCACTCACAGTGGTATCATTAGAGGCGATCAGGGGGCTGGAGGCCAGGGAAGACACTGAGACCATCTTGAGTGGGACCATTCTGAGGAGCACAGAAAAGAGTGGTCAATAAAAGTTTTTAAAAAATCATCTAAATGGCTAGTTCCTTCCCACATTTCACTGACTAAGTTGAGTAGGTATATGTTAATTCTTCATTATGTATTTTTGACTATTAACAAAGGGACCAACCTCAAACTTGACACTGATCCAGAAGAATAAAATTGACTTAATTATCCTCATCTACATAATCCTTGGCAAAGAAGTAAAACCTTTGATAAATGTATATCTAAATGGGCATCAATGTTTTTTTATTTTTATGTAATATGTCTTATATCACAATATATGTTCATAATTGGACAATGCCCCACTTTCTCCTTAATCAAAGTATTGTTTTTATTTGATGAGCTTATTAATGATTCATTAATAATAATAAATCTAAATCTACAAAACCAAAATGAGAACATGACCTCTGTGCATTTCTAACATCTGTCTATAGCATCATTTCCAAAGAGGAATGAGACTGATTATGCATTGTGCTGTATCTCAGAGTTTCAGGCACTTCCTATTGTCCCTGAGAGTTGCAGACACATCCTATTCATTGTCCATGACACACCCTACCAGTTGTCCATCATTGTTCCAAGATTTCCCCTCTTTTCCCTCACTCGTGTTTCTTGATTTATTAACTTTTCAATGGGCTCATAAAAACAAAATAAATTTACATGAGCACAACAGTTCAAGAACAATGCTCTTAAGTCTCCCTAAAATTTTTCTACAGAATAATTTCCCTCAAACCTATCATTAATCAATGTTGGTGTTGCTCAAACCCATTAAGGAACATATGTTCCACATGAACCCCATGGTGGGCCATGGTTAACTTCTTTCATTAGACTTGACACATTTTCTGAACAATGCAGCTAGAGTTCTTAAACTAATCACCCAAACCAGAGGAGGTTTGGCTATTACTCACATTGGTGTCCATGTTCCCCACACAGAGTTTGTGGCCATGGCGGAAGAATTCAATCAGCGAGGTGCATTCCCTCTGAGTATAAGCAATACAGATAATAAAATATTGAGACATTCTTGCCATAAATACATACTTTTCATTTCATTTTCTTAGTCATTTCATTTTCTTAGTCATTTGGGTATTTGCAGAGTGATAATTTATTTTTCTCTAAAGTACAGGAACCACTTAAACTTATTATTGACTCAAAGCAAGAATACAGATTACTACACATCTCCATCTTTATCATTCTTACCCCAAAATGTAATACCTTGGTCTATTATTAATATAACTTGAAACATCAGTGGTTTCAAGTTATATTAATAATAATTCTTGTCTGACAGCATATTCCAATAGTGTGATATGCTTTACCCTTTTTATACTGATATTTATTCTTTCATTTATTCACTTATGATAAAATTAAAAACCATGAAACACCAAATGCTGAGTTATAATTCTTAAATATGACTGAACTCTACCCATAGACTCATTCAGTTCGTAGTGGACCTCAAAAGAGCTCAGATGCATTCCACGCTCATCATTAACCATGGTTGGCCTTGTTCATTCATTTGCACACTCTCTATATGTATAGAATGATCCAGGCATCAGAGATAGAACACTAGCCAGTACCTGTACCTCTTACGTGCTTCTTCCTCATAATGAAAATGCAGAACATCTTCATCCATGAAGGCATTTTAGGGAAGACATAAAAATAGAAATGTAAAGAGCTATAAAAATTAGTGTCATGGTCTATTACTATTTTTAAAATCATCCTAAACATTACTATATCAAATTAACCCTATACTTATGAAAGTAATTTCTGTCTCACAACATTTTTTTCTGAATTAAACCAGCTTTCCTTTTCTATCTATTTTTTAAAATATTTCTCTTGATTTCAGAGAGGAAGGGGAAGTAAGACAGAATCATTGATCAGCTGCCACCCATACGCCCTCTACTGGGGATTGAGCCCAAAACCCAGGCATGGGCCCTGACCAGGAATCAAACCATGACCTCCTAGTTCATAGGTCAATACAACCACTGAGCTACACCGGCCAGACTTTCTATTTATCTAACTATCATTTATCCCATCTACTTCCTGATTCTTTGATTTGTTCCCTAAGATTAATGCAATAAATACCCAAATTCCACTGAAACCTCATAATTAGATTCTTAAAAATTAGTAAAATCTAGCTCAAGACTTATTCCAAGTGTAAAATACCATACCCTTTTTTGAAATGAACATCAATAATGCAGAAATGAATTCATCACGAGACATGTTCAGGATACATTCCATTTGCATCACGGTTTCTTGTTCTATAAAGATATAAAGAACAACAGCCATTATCCCACTATCCATTGGGCATCCAAACACTGTCAGTATCTTATGTTTTCCTGTGGATTGCATCACTGAATTAATAGCTTAGATCTTTCCCCAGAGGAATGATTAAAGTGGAGGTACACACCAAACAGAGAATACTAAGTAGCTTTGAAAGCAAGTGTAAAAGTCTCAAACTTAAAAAAATAAAAATTGTACTGCATATTAGCATAACCAATGGACACAGAAACTGGGGTGGTCGGAGTAAGGAGGGGTTAATGGGGGGGGGGAGATATATATAAAACGTGAGACAATAAAAATAATAATAAAATAAATTGTGCTGAAACTGACTACTTCATAAAATGTGCTACATAGCATATCTTCATCAAAAATCCACATTTTATTTAAATACATCGCTATTTATTATTAGCTTTATCTTCCTTTCATTTAATTAATGAAAAACCTCAGAAGCTATTAATTTTTAAACAAAATCAAAAACTATTTAACTTCCCAGAAACCCAGAACAGAAATGGTGATTGTATATCTCTGTCTAATTCATTCCCTTCAATCCAACTAATAAGAGCAAATTTTTTTTTTTTCAATAAGGGGAACATAACATGAGAAGAACTGATGCAGGATGATGTTTCAACATACACTCCTCACTGGTCAGGTGATCTGACCCCTTTATCTTATTAAATTACTAAGCTATTTGTTCATTGCTGATAAGAAAATCAGTAAGTCAGTGTACAAACTCGAAATGATAACGCTAACGGACAGTCACTGCAGGTGCCCACTGGCGTGAGTATTGGGGAACAATATACTTTTTCAAAATTCACTGCATAAAAATTGACAAGTAAAGTTGGAAGTCTTTAAGGTGCACAGCATGGTGCTTTGATTTCCATTGTGGAATGATGACCCATGGGGCACCACAAAGCAAATTGGATTGGGGTCTTAACTGTCACCGGACATATTTTTGTCACTGGTCCATGCTCAGCCATCTTTAAGGTAGTTGATTAAATTATATAATCATTTTACTACTTGTTAAGTTTTTAAAAAACACCTGCTACATAGTTACAGCACAGAATATGAACCCTGACAAATACATATGTCCCTTATGCTCAACTAAAAGCCTCTCCTATGGTTAATGGCCTTCAGTTCTTCGGAAATGGATTGGGGGTGATGTTTGTTTCATTATGCCATCTTGCTTTGACCTCTGACTCTATCCTTCACTTGTTCATACGTTTGTGTAGTTATTATTGCATGAATTTTTAATAAGAAATCAAATCTGTTTTTCATTGTACCTTGGACTTCAAGGTTAAGCAGTATTGGCCCTTGGCTTACCTGCCGCCAGGCTACCGCACTGACCCTGTGGTTCCCCCAGTGTCATGTTGTGAAGAGAGAAATAATTAAATCATTAATCATAAACATATAGTAAATTAGTTTATGAAAGTAGCTTTAATATCCCTATACATATGATACAAAATCACTTTCTAACAAGCAAATAGGCGAGGTCTGTTTTGCTAATGAATCTCAAGTGTTGAATATATGGATTAGCCAATGTACTTTCTCCAGTGTAACCTCTTTATTATTAATCCATGATTGGCATGGTCTAATCTCTACCATCTGTCTATAGAATTATTTCCCTCAGCAACTCATCCCCTTGATTAAATAACTTCAATGTTTTGTATGTAAATTAATTAGCATAGTGCTTCACATTAATTGTATTTTGGTTGGTATGCACTGATTATATTTCACACTTCTTAATAATAGAGGGAATACTCTTAAACCACCCAAGAACGTGAATATTACTCACTGACACCGAGATCCATGGTGGAGACCATCACCACAGAAGAAGCCTGCAGTCAGCTAGGGCAGGTCCATTCTGGAGGGAAGAGCACAGTAGGTGGTTAAAAAAGGTCGAGACCTTTTCTCTACTGACCTTTGCATTTAACTTCTTATTAGTCATCTAAGAAAACTAGCAATATGGAAAAATGTCTAAATTCTCACAAGTGACCAAATAATAGCGACCTTGCCAAGGACACAGAATATGAGCTTTGTCCCTGTCAATCAACACTGACTATAAAATCTTTAGCCAAAGGGGTAACCTGGGGGCCATTATTTTCTAATGGGCAGGCGTTTTTTTCTACATACATGCATTGTAATTCTTATCTAATTATTGTATTTGGGCAATTCTAAATTATAAAAACATTCATCTTTATATAGATATTATATATGTTTTATTGATTGCTTCATTGATCCAGTTGTAAATTGAAAGATAATACATGAGTGTAAATTTTCAGAAATCCTCACATATTCATGAATTGCCTAGGGGATCCTTTCATACGGGGCGGCAATGGACTAGAATGCATTTGAGCTGGAACCCAGACACGTGCTCGGCGCATTAACGCACACACCACCAGGAGTCATCGTTGGTCCACGATGCCGCGGTCCCTCCTCTCCTCTGATATTTTCTATAACGTGTGCAGAGTAATTTACTCATTTAGCAAAAACAATTTTAAGGTCCTGTTATTCATAAAAACTCCACACAAAAAAAAGTCTTAACATCCCTAATCTTTGCATCTAATCGTTCTCACATTAATCTTTCTCACTGAAGAATGTATATTCTCCGTGTATATATAATATATACAGATTCACCGATATAATCAATGTTATATCAATGCATAAAAGAAATCCCACATTTGTCACAGGGCTAGAGTTGGCTTTAATTGATTATATTTCACACTTTTTAATGTTACAGGGCATGCCCATTAAAAATAATGCTGGAACTGAGACAAGAACTTACTTACAATACAAATAGGGGCACTCAGAGAGCTCCTGACCAGGGAAAAGGCTGGAGTCAGCTGCACAGCATCCAATCTCAAAAAGAGTACAGAGCACAAAACAACACAGAAAGATGAGACCAAATCTCCATTGCTCCCTGACTTCTACATTTCATTATTTGTTGGTTAATGATCAGATTTATTTGTTCTTCTCTTAATAGATTAAACATCAGAATTGTAAATGACTCAGAGCAGTAACTCTTACTTATTATATATCTCATTCTTAGTCAAAGATGTAATACACTTGATCCACTTAATATTGATTGCAATATACATTAGTACTATTTTTCTTCTATACATTTTAACAATGAACAATGCCTCACCCTCATATTTATTTTGTCATTTATTCTTTTATAATAATATTTTACAAAATTAATGAACACAAAACGAAGAACCAGAGCTTTGTAAATTCCTGACATCTGTCTATACAATCACTTCTAACACCAAGAGGGGGCTAGGTTTCTTTGTGTTAGACCTCAGAGTCCCAGACACATTCGTTTTTACTGTGTATATTTGACTCATATGCCACCAGTCGTCATCACTTTCTTCATTCTCATCTATACCCGTTTACTGGTCAAGTTGTCAATTCACTAGTAATAACAAAAATATCTGTGACTAATAAATACTTGAGGACAAGATTCTTAATGTCTCCAATCTTGATCTCTAGAAGCATTTGCCTCAATGCGTATGCCTATGTTACTTATCAGCTTCATGGGTGCAAATACCCATGAAAGGACATCAAGTTTCATGTCAATGCCATATTTACTATGTGAGTACGACTAGCCATTTCTGAACATATGTAATACGATTTTATAGCATTACAGTGGATGCTCGGAACAAACAAGAGAAGAATTAGGCGGTGACTTACAGGTAGCTCGACAGAGCGCCGACCAGTGGAGTTCCTGGTGATGGCCAAGGGCTGGGACATCCACAGTGTGCTCATGCTGAGGAACACAAAGCAGAGAAGAGGACAACGAAATTGAGGGGCAGTCTACGGAGGCACACGATCACCTTCCCTTTAGCCCGTCCCTCAGGAATATAATCTGTACTCATGAACAAACCAAACAATATCCAACTTGACACAGTCCAAGAATGAACAACTTTGACTAGTTATTATTTACTGTCTGTGTCATTCTTAGCCAAAGGGGGAAGACAATGGAAGCATTCACACTTCTTAATGAGTGGCAGTATTTTCAATAAGCATTAGAAATGTTTATTGTCTCACCCTCTTCGTCTTATTCTTATACATGGGTTCTTTTGGAACCATTTATTAAAATAGAGTCAAAAACTCATGAAAACAAACGAAGAAAACGGTCCTTTTTCATACCCTAAGGCACTAACTAGACTAGGTCTCTCTCTTTGGTGGACCTCAGAGTTGCAGACATCGTAATCATCATCTCCGTGACTCTTATTCCAGGCCATGTCATCACCGGTCCATACCGCACCCCGTTCGTCTTCATTCTCATTGTTTCCTCTCGTCAATTATCATCAATACTTCAAATATGCATTAGTAAACATAATGCTTCATAATACCTCATAGGTATCATGTGGGGCTCCCATTCTACACTTTTAGCAATACAATGAATACCCTTTTAAAAAATTCTTCAACCAACACAAGAACGGTAACCTTTACTCACATTTCATCTCAAGGCTTTACGCAGAGATCTTGTTGCCATGGAAAACACTTAAATCAGCTTGAGCATGTTGATTCTGAGGAGTACAAGACAGAGCAGATCATTAACAATGGAAACCTTATCTCCATTAGTCATTTTCTTTTTCATTTCATTTTATCAGTTACTTAGGTATCTACTTCTTCAGACTATATGTACATAGAAAATATAAATATACATATCATATTAAAAATTAGCGTCCTCCACTCAAGACTGACACAGGCCAATAAAACTGTATATTAATTCTCAGTGTCAGTGTTTATATAATCCTTAGAAAAGAGGTAAGGCCCTTGGTCCATTTTTTCACAACATCAGTTTTTCAATTTATGTTCATTGGATTTCTTGCATCACTATATACATATACTTGATAAGGCTTCATCCTAGTTTCATTTAGTGATATATTTGTTCATGGGTTCTATCATGGATTCATTGATATTAATAGTAACATGCTAGAAACCCATGAATCCCAACATGACAACAACAGTTTCCTTGCATCTTCCTAATGAGAGAGGAAACAGACTAGACTTTGCTTGGTTTTTGGACCTCAGACTTCCAGACACATAGCAATCATGGTCCCTCCTTCATATGCCATCGGTGATCATCATTGGTCCAGGTTTGGGCCTCTTCTTCCTCATTCTCACCTACAGTTGCTAAGGGGTCAATGTACTGCTAATTAAACACACATCTGTGAATCACAGAAATGCAAGGACAAAAGCCTCAAGATTGTTGTCACACTCCTTTAGGACCAATGGCTTATGGATTATACCTCTTTTCACTAATCATCCCCATTATTCCAAAGGTAAAGTAATCGACATAATGTTTTGTACATTTCCAGTTTAATCATTGGGCCATGGGCTGGTCTTTTTTCCACTTTTTAAGTGACTATGCTGATATCCTAAACACACTTCCCTGACCAAGACAAAAACTTTGATTATTACTCACACTGGCCTTCATGCCCCTCCATGGAGCTTCTGAACACGACAGATGCCAAATCTCCTTCAGGTGCTTTCATTCTGAGAAGTGCAAAGCAAAGGAGACAGACAATGACAAGACGGGAAAATTACCGCATCTTACATTTAGTCAATTATTTAGAATACAGCGATGTGGGCTAACACTAAATACCATACTTTTAGTGGCCAGAATAAGAACTTTATCAAAGACAGAGGTACTGGAATCATTTTCTTTTGGTTACGGAATACACTATTTTAAATAAACTGGAAACATTTTTATTCCTTCACCAGAGATTAAAAGTGTGATGCGCGCCTGGTGTGGCTCAGTGGTTGAGCGTTGACCTCTGAATCAAGAGACTGAGATTTGATTCCTGATCAGGGCACATGCTCAGGTTGTGGGCTTAGTCCCAGTGGGGGGTGTGCAGGAGGCAGCCAATTAATTTTTCTCTCTCATCATTGATGTGTCTATCTTTCTCTCCCATCCTCTCTGAAATCGATTTTAAAAATTTTTTAAAGAGTGTATGTCATTCATCTCTGATTTTTAAAATTTGTACATTAAGTCTGAGATTGATCCACTTATAACAAAATAATAAAAATCCATTCATTTCTATATCTGTATCAAATAAGTCATTAATTCATTAATAGTAATTAAGTGAAAACATGACTCACAATATCCAAGGATAAGATTGTTGAATGTCTCTCCCATTTGTCCATAGAATCATTTCCCACTAGACAAATTCTTTTTCACTAATCAAGCACAATACTGGACATTAGTGATTAATAATATAATGTTTCTTATCATTTGACCATAGTTAATTTTTTATAATGTTTAATATTTTTAATAACTGAATAAATTTGCTTAAACAAATAATGCAGTCTAAGATGACAACTTAATGAACTTCAGTATTTTTAATGCTCATCGTTTTTATCATCCTTATCTGCATAAGCTCATTCATTAATTCATTGGATTTAGTAATATTAAATTTTAAAACTGTATGATTCATATAAAACAAGAATAAGAGTAATAAATATTCTACATATAGGACCATTTGCCATATTGATATATCTCTTTAATTATCATCAATGTTTCATATATGATAAAGATAATCTTCAGAACAATCCCATATTTATAATTCATGATAGTTGGCATCTTGGACTATATTTCACATTCTGATGACATATGAATATTTGAGAGAAAAATATCTCAAAGACATGAACTGTTCCAATGTATTACTCACATTGGTCTCTACTCACTACACAAACAGGCAACCATAGAACATGTGACCACGGATGATGCTTCCATCTGCTCAAGTGCGTCATTCTGAGGAATACACACTTTGCAAATACAGAATATATGTTAATCACAAACTCACATTTGTTTCTATGCACCAAACACACAGCCAGACGTCTTGAGACCATGTGAGAATCTGTAGTTCAGGTCCAGTGCATCCATTTTGACAATTGCAAGCACAGAGGGAAGTGAAAAGGTGAGACTTTATCTGCACTAACTTTGCTTTTTACATTTAATTTACTAAGCAAATTATTTACTCCTTTTCATAACTTACAATGCTTCACACGTTTATATTAATTTACTTGTATTTGTTTTTTTAGTTCTTTCACTCAATGAACCATTAGACATGAACACAAAAAGTGAAGGACAGACTTGGCATGTTCCTAACATCTGTCACTACGGTCATTTCCCCCAGAGGGGACAGACTAGATTTCTTACTGTGTTGGACCTCAGAATCCTGACAGTTATCTAGTATTCATCATCCCTGACTCATAACCCAAGATTGGTCATCATTGGTCCAAAACTGGCCCTTTTCTTCTCCATTCATTTCTAATTTTCTTTGTTAAATGATTTATCATTTCACTAATAAATAGATGTCACAAAAACTTTTTAAAAATTTGTTTCTTTAATAGCCATATGCTCATTTGTCAGCTTGAGTACATCTTTACAGCCCAATGTTCACATGACATCATGAGAATGTCACATGTGTCATTGGGCCATGGTCTGCCATCTACCCAAATCAAGACAAAGTCTTTGATTATACTCACATGAGTGGCCCTGCTCCTAACACATGGAGCTTCTGGACATAAAGGATGATTACATCTGCAGGGATCGATCATCCTGAGAGTACAAAGCATTCATCTCTACTCTTCCCTCCGAAGAGGGAAAAAGCAAGATCATTGCCATGAGATAATAATATAATCTGATAGTGTTCATTCTGAGGAGTAAACAACAAAGTTTCAAAAGAATCAGTCTACCTTGAGCTATTTTAAAGGATCATAATCAATTAATCAAATACTTAAATCCTATTCTAACATTTGGAAAGAGAGAGAGCATCCACTACCTTATATTTATTAACATGTACAATTTTATTTTTATTTTTTTTATGTTTCTTACTGATTTCAGAGAAAGGAAAGGAGGGGGAGAGAGAGAAATATCAATAATGAGAGAGAGGCATTAATCGACTGCTTCCTGCATGGCCCACACTGAGGATCCAGCCTGCAAACCAGGCCTGTGCCCTGACCAAGAATGAAACCGTGACCTCCTGGTTCATAGGTCAATGCTCCACCACTGAGCAACACTGTCTGGGCAACATGTGCAATTTTATATTTTAAGTAATACAATGAGCACTGGTGTTACTAACATTAAAAAGAAACAATCTATCAATATTAAGAATATCTGTCTGTACTTGCAAACCACATAGATGACAGCCAAGATCCTCTTTTATCTTGAACTGTGTGCAGAATGGGATATATGGATGATTAAATGCATGGCACAATCTCACCAATGGTCCAAGTTTAACCCTACTGAATATCCTTATTCAGTCACTTGCTCTACTTAATTACTATGGGGTAAGAAGACATTTTCCTAAAAGAATTCCAAAAAGTATAAACAACCATCTACATAGAACTGGAACATTGTTATTTGCCAATGTTTAATGCCCCATTGGAAAGCCCTAGAACCTTTGTCTTCCTATGGGTATCAGTTGTATAAAACATGATGAAGCATGATGTTTACACCCATTTCCATGCTTTCCATTGATGTATTGTTGGCTGATTGAAATATCAATGTATACATTTGCTCACTTATAATTTACTTCAATGTATGTGAGACCACCCATACTGGATAAGTACCTCAATAATATTTACATATGTCCTTATGTCCTTAGCCAAAAGATTAGCACACTGGTTCCTTAAAGGAAGGTTTGCTTACACAAAATTGCATTAAAAGGTTGCATTAATCATTACTGTGTTTGTATGAAACAGTCTCATCATTGCTCCATGCTCTCTCCCTCAACTCCATAGTTTATTCAATCAAGGATTTATGTAAATGCATTTCCCTTTCCTTAATAAAATGACCAATTGGCAATCTGCCTCAACACAGAACCAAAACATTGCCTCCACAGAGGACCATATGCTCGTCATTAAGGTGATAAGAGCCTTGACTACTCATTCATTGGAATGGAGAATTTCAAAATTGCCTTTTAATAATTTTCCATGTTTCATTAAAGGTGATAAAGGTAGTGTACACATCTCTCTCTTACTTTTCATTAGCTGACATATCTCTTTACGTGTGTGTTAATTTTATTAGAATAATGCATTCACACCCCATAGCCCAAGAAAAAGGTTCTGTAGGCTCATTAGAAGATAATGAGGTGTGTCATTGCAACGGACCTCAGCCTTAGGGTTTTAATCAAAATTCTTGCTTCAGAAACCCCATGACATTCATCACTGGCCCCTGCTGGGAATTTTGAAGCAAAAAAAAAAAAAAAAAAAAAAAAAAAAAATGGTGATGACCTTCTTGGTTCACAAATAATAATATAATTACAAAATTCCAAAACAAGATCCTTGAATTTCAGGCTCTTATCGCAAAGAACTAATAAATTCCATCTCTGTGTCACGGGCCTCAGACTCAAGCTGCACGTGGGGATGGGACAGCATCCCTGCGTTTACATTTGGCATTCTTCCTGTTTAAAGAATGGCCCTCTTTCATTTAATGTGTCCATATGTCAAAAGATGTTTCCATTAAAAATAATGAAACCACCTCCTGCAAGTCACTGCCCCCAAAGAGCTACCCGCCAGCTCTATGCATAACCCTGGCTATATTAAACTGCACCGAGAATGAATCCAATAACTTCTACCTCTTTTCAAATGGCCTCAGTGGTATTGATTTAGATGAAACATAACATTTGGATTATAATCCATTCCCATCGCTGGCCTACACTTGGAGTGTTTTATTTATTTCATGTATGTAGTACAGAAATGATTTACTTTAAATTTCTTCAGATAACGCCCATGAACAAACACTCCAAACAGAGAATGTAAACTAAGGGAACTCACTTATATTACTTTGTGCACCGAGCTCTCGAGGGCAATTCAGCTGTCCGCTGTTCACTCCAGAGGGGAAACAGCAGGTTTAGACTAGATTTAGATTCTGTTCAAAGGCTGGCGTTCGGGCAGAACTGGGTAACAATCAATTTTGGCTCAAAAATGCCATTTTTAAAAATTAACCCAGTATGAAAGTCTTAGCTTTAAATAACATAAGAAACACTATTACATCCGCCACCTACTCCAAGATTAAGATGTGTAATGTTCACAAATCTCCCACTATATGAACGTCTATTAATTCGGTGTTTATGTAATGGACTACTGATTGACTCAAACCCCTTCCCTTTCTTTAATATTAGGGGAAAAAATACCCAGCAAATGACTAAAACTCAAAAACTGCCTAACTACAGATGCTAATATGTTCTATGTGAAAGAGGATTATAGACTAAACCTGTTCATTTTCCACCAGAATTATATTATTTTACTGCAGTGTCCCAATTGTCCCATGAATAAGGCTCTTCGTCTTTCATATATACATTTCTGTGCTTATTTATGTATTGATTCTACCGGAAAGAATACACTTACACCCATGAGTCACAAAAGCCCGGACTTGAGTATATTGAATTTTCCTAACTCCTACTCTTAGCTAATTTCTACAGGGAATATTGACCAGTTCCTTTTTCTATGAGGGACCTCAGAGTCGGAGACTTAATGAAAGGGGTGTGTTGACTCAGACACCTGCACAAATATTCATCATTGATCCAGGCAAAGCTTTCTATTGCTTCTCTCACTCAGGCCTCTTTTAACTGGCTCATACATCCATGGATTCATGAATAATAATAATAATTATATGATCAATGAACTCTAATGACACAAAAGTGAGAACGAAAGCCTTAAATGCAACCAAGATCTATTCCTTGCCCTTGTCCACATAGAGCAAATTGACCACCACTATTCACAGAGGTTGGCCAGCCCCGCCTTCAGGCCAGATCCTTACTTAGGACTACTGTCCACTTGCCCCTCTCACGAGATTTATCCATATATTGGAGTTGGTGTAATCAATAACCACAGACCTGTCTGTCAGCTTAGCCCAGAAATGACAAAACTGATAGCTGCTTTATTAATTAGGACGAGAGGAGAAAATCTGGGATGGTACTCTAGCCTCAACTTAACAACTTAACAACTGAGATCTTTATCAGTGAAGGGATGCAAATGTGACAAGAACTTTGAGAAGTTAAACTGCTTTCAAAAAGTCTGAAATGCCTCCCCCATCACTTTCCTGATAACCCTTAGTGGGGCTGAGTCTGAATTAATCATTAGTGTCAGTTCATGCTACATTCAAATCATGGGTGCATGGCTGATATTCCTTAATTCCATAGATCATATAACTATTTATTTTATGGAAATCATTTTGTGGGCACCCCATCTATGATTAGAACTGATGTTTATTTACATCGGTCTTTATACCCCTTGGTCCCAGAAATGACAGCCAGGGGTCTTCACCATCAGAAAATGATTAAATCAATGGTATTCATTCTATAAAGGGAAAATAATAGCCTATATTTTAAAATGAAGCCAGAGTTCGCATTTTTATTATTTCTAATAGGTTTTCTCATTGATTTCAGACAGAGTAAGGGAGAGGGACTGGGAGACAGAAAAGCAATGATCAGAGAGAATCATTGATTGGCTGCCTCCTGCATACCCTCTCCCACTGGAGATCAAGCTCAACCCTGACATGTGCCATGACCTGGAATCAAGCAGTGACCTTCTGGTTCATGGATCGTCACTCAACCACTGAGCAACATTGGCAGGCTGCGAGTTAGTCTTTTTAAATTGAAATTGTCAGGAAGACTAGACTAATCATAAATCCTACCTCACTTTACATTCTCATTATCTTCTCAACAATGGCAATCTTATGTTTACTTAAATTTTACTATTAAATAATGAGTTCAATACAAAATAAAAACTATACCAATTAATGACCTGTGACTTTATTTGCTACCTACATAGGAAGAGACAAGATAATCTTTCTATTGGAGTTATTTGTATAGAATTAGACATATTTAATTTGTTTCATGATAAAATCTCATCAATCCTCTACATAAGTATTTATCAGTTTATTCACTGGGAATAACAATATCATGTCCTCATTCTTCTAACAATCCAGAACCAAATTATTTTAATTTGGAAAGTTCTAGGTGCACCTTTCAAATAATAACGAACCTAGATTCCTTCCCAGAATATGTGTTGTTGGGAACAAAGATAAATTGGTATCCTCATGTCAAAATGTGTTCCTCGTCGGCCTGCGGTTTGCTAAATATTTAAAATAGATTAAGATATGAAATTACATTTCTCTCTATACAAACACTTCAGTCTCCGAGATCTTATTTACTAGATAAAAACACGGAACGCTACCGTCAATAATAGACTTACTTCTGTTTTGTGTTTTAATAAAAATCAGTAAAAAGGTTAA